TTATTTGAATCACACGATTTATTGTGCACAAAGGGAAGTAACGAGGACACTTTAGGTGAAGGGTGCCCAAGGCGTTGGTGCCAAAAAGGAGAGCTCATGGTGGTTATGGTGTTGCAGGATCTCTTCTTTGGTGGTTCGAGATAGTAGAGTCTCTCCCGTTCAATTCCCGTCCCAATCATCTTCCCCAAATGTAGGTTCTGTATGACGCAAAATTGTTTGAGAAAAATGGTGATGTAGAGGGAATCATAGGCTAACTTGGTAATAGATATTAAATTTAACCTAAAGAATGGTACACATAAAAAATTGTCAAGGATAAGGTTGGGAGAGAAGACCACTTTGCCGACATGGGTTACGGTAGCAAGGGAACCATTTGGTAATTCAACACTATGATTTTCAACACGTTTTGAGGACGTGAGAAACTCAGGACTGCATACGATGTGGTCCGTGGCACCACTGTCCAAAATCCAAATGACTTGCTTTCCATTACGCACGAAAAAAAAATGCTTTACCTGAAAGTTCTTCATGTTTCGAAGAATTACCCACTTGATTAGCAAAGGAGGATTTGCTCTTGTTCAAAATTTGAAGAATCTGCTTGCAGTCCTTCAGAGAAAAAGGGAAGTTGGGCATTGTGTCCTTCTTGTCACATGCCATGACTTGGTTGCCCTTGAAAGGCCGACTTTGGTCAGTTTCAGCCGCTGCTTTTCGTTTGTGGCAAAAGTCGAAAGTTTGTCCCTTTTAACCACAAAATGTGCACTTGAGATGAGCACAACAATTCTTGGTGCTATGGTTGGTCTTGTTGCATTTGGCGCATCGCTGACTACCATATTCTGTCTTGGGTTATTGACCAACACCTTTCACTGTAAATACGGTAGCTTCAGGTCATATGGTGCTGCTATTTCCATTTGACACTTCGACTTGTTTTTCATGACGAAGAACAAGTGCATAAGCTTTGGTAACAGTTGGTAATGGATCCAGCAAGAGGATGTTGTTACGAACCGTAGCATATGAGTCACTTAAACCCATAAGGAACTTCATTGTTTTCTAAGTCTCAACATATGATGTTATCTCATTCCTCGCTTCACAATGGCATGTCGGGATTGAACATAAGGCATCACGTTCATCCCAAAGGCCTTTGAGTTTGGTGAAATAAGAACTCACCGTCATGTTGCTTTGCACACAATTATGAATTTCGTTTTCTATGTTAAACAGTTGAATGAAGCTCACATGAGAAAACCTTTCTTGTAGGTCAAGCCACATCTACCGTGCGTTCTTGCAATGTATGACACTTCCTGAGATTTCTTTTGACATGGAGCTGAGCAGCCATGTTTTCACCAGATTATTGCACCGGTTCCATTGCTGTAATTCTTCAACCTGTGCATCAGTTGGCTTCGTGATTGTTTCATCAACCTAGCCCTAACTTGTTTTTGACCATCAAGGCCATGGTCATGGATTGCGCCCATGTGCCATAGTTGTCTTCCACGAGTGGCTACGGAACAAGAATGGCGCCAGGCTGATTCGAGTGATAAAGGCAAAGTGGATGATTAGGGTTTTCCCACTTCTGATGCAAAGTCATACCTGAAGAGGTTGACTTTTCTGGTTTGTCACCCATGGCTATGGTTGCTAGGGTTTAAATTTCTGTCGTGGTTTTCCCAGATCGATCACTCTGGTACCATCTAAGAAACGTAATATAGTAGAATGGTTTTTCTTGTATTCACCGAAAGCTAGGGTTACAAGATATATAGGAAACAGGTACATTCCTGATCCTAAACTAATGCCTACAATCAAGAAAAACAAACCATAATAGGTAAGCAAATAACTAATTTACAGATTTACAATATTTACTATAATTAATTTTCAAAGCCAATTGCCGCTGACCCTAGTCCCCTATCTTTCTCTATTTTCTGTTCAGATATTCGCAAGCAAAGACTATCTAGAATGTTTAGGGAGACTTCAAAGAGAGTATCCAGTGCACTGCAGAGCAATCCTTCTCTCTTTTTCCTTCCATATTCTCACCCTTCATTTATTTCCTTTTTTTAATTTCTACAACAAAATAAAAACCAGAAGCAAAAAAGAAAGCAATGCCCTGCTTGCGCAATTTTTTCTATTTATTTTAGTTCAAATTTTTTTAAAGGTTCAAAATCCTTGTTCAATTGCATAATACTCATTTTCAATTAGTGGGCAAGAGGGTAAGATTTGTATGGGAGAATGAGATTTGATGTGTAGTGAAGAAGATGGTCAAGAAAGGAAGTTGAGAGAAATCTGGGTTTTTGTTTTCTTTTTTTCTGTTTTTGTTTTTAATTTTTAATTTTGTCTGTGCTATGATTAATTATATTTTTTTCTATTTTTCCTTAATTATTTTTCATTTTAACATCAATTAATAAGTGAAAAATTATTATAGTCCGACATACTATTTGATGTACAAATTAATTTGACACTGCCCCAAATGCTTGATTATTAGTCAGTATTATCCAAATGCACAGATTAGTCAGTCTAAATGAAATAGTCAGTACAGTCCGACGTGCCAAACGAGGTCGGACATATAGTTTAGTCAGGGTCCCAAGACTCATAATGCTTGCGCATTCTCTCTTTCCCCACTCTCTTGGGGATCTCTTTCCTACTTTTTAGTGTTGCGCGATGATATGAACGGTTTGTTTTTTCATTTACCCTTTATGAATTACTCAACAAAAAATTAACCAAATTCGAAATATGTTAATCATCTAAGGTCATCTCCAACTGACCTGGCTAAAAGGCCATAAGCCAAAATATAGCCCGTTAGGACACAAAAATCACCTCTAACTGAGGGCTAGGCCAAAGATTTTGTGGGCCACCCCGACCAAAAATCAAACACCAGGCCAGAAGGTTAGCCAAAATGAGCCAGTCAGCCAGCCTGATGCAGTAGCCCACCCAGTACCATTTATTGATTCCATTCCATTTTCCTACCTGAAATTCCAAAAGCTCCTCCATTCCAATTTCCAATAAAATAACAAAACTTATGGCGTGTTTACGAATGTGTAATGATATGAGCGGAAACGGAATTGCACAGAGTTTGATTGTCCTCAATTCGTCTTCTCCAGAAATCCACCAATTTGGGAGGTGGTAGGAGGACATGTGAATACAGGAGGCAGTGGGAGGGATCTGTGAATATGGGAAGTTGTTGGGGTTGGGGAAGAAGATGATATGGAGGAAAGGGGGAGGCATGGAAGCCTTGTGAAAACAGGAGTTGATGGGAAGGGCTGGGAAAGAAAAGGGGGAAGGCATGGTAGAGTGTGAACAAAAGGGGAGGCGTGGGAGGGCTGTGCAGGTTGGGGAAAGAAATGATTGGAGATCTGGAAGAAGAGATAATTGATGAATTTTATTTGGATACATGTTATTATATGGATATATATATATATATATATATATTTTTTTTTTTTTTATTTGTAAGAATATTTTTATACAAATAAACTTTATATAGATGTATTTTATATAGATAAAATGTTTATATATGGTTATCTATATCAACTTGAATTTTATTAATTATTACATGAATAATTTATTTTAACAAGAGCAACTTAGTAGTCAAGCTAGTTTTAATTCTGATTCAAGTGAATTAGAAAACAAGTTATACGAAACTAATATCATTTTTACTTTGATTCCCGCTAGTTTAGTAAACAACTTTAATAGGAATCTAATTATGATTCCTCCACAATCCAATTTCTTCTTAATTCAATTCCTCTCAATCTGATTACGGATTAGTAAACGAGCCCTTAATTTTATGAAGCGGTTCGTTCTATCGCCATTTGTCAGGTGCATTTGGCATTAACATAATTTAATCTTATGATAAATTACAAAGCTTTTTAGACAAAATTTTAAATTAATTAATTTTTTTTCTATAAATACCTAAGTTATTCTTGCACCATTTCTCACATCCGTTTCATCATTCCATACTATCTTACCTCATTTTATTTCAATATGGTAGTTTAATTCAATTATGTCCAAAAACCTTAGCTACAAGTGATACTCAAAATATGTTTGAAAATATTATTTTAACATGATATTTTAATTCAATTAACCATATTAATTTAATTAAAATAATAAACTATTGAGGGGGGCTAAAAAATAGCCCTCTTGGTTGGAGATGAGTTTTTTTTTTTGTCAAAGGGCTATGTTTTGTCCTAAATAGAAGAGACTTGTTGAATATTTGGATGAACATTCATCATATCCTTGTTTCCCATGTTTTCAATATGTTCTAATATTTAATAATCTATATATCATTTTATTTTGCAATTTATGTATTCCGACACAATTATATATATATATATATATATTATAACAAGAGACTTATTTATACAATATATTGTAAATTGATTTAAAAATCAGCTTAGTCTGCATGGGAGCTAGGCTCCAGTCCGCTTCCCGACTAGGGTCTAATGGCTTTTAGAATTTTAGTTTAGATCATCGTGCTACATTTTATTTTTTTTGAACAAATTACATTATCTATATTAGGGATCGAGAAATGGACAAAACCTCACACTGAACTAACCATAATAATGTATTTTAAATTTATTTTTAATAAAAATTGAACCTAAATTTCATACTTATTGCATAAGAAGAAAAGAAGGAAGACGTCCGATTTATTGCATAAAAGAATCAGTACCTCCATGCAAAAAGGCAACTTGTTGAGAAAAGTGTGAATAGTTGCTTGGAAAGAAGGCAACCTCGTCCCTTTCTTCCATGATGGAGAAAGAAGAGACAAAAACCTGGTAACCGCCGAATCAGAAAGAAAACGACGACAGGCGTTATCTTTAGTGATAACCACATACCTCACTCTCCCATCACAACCCTCCACGTGTCTGCCGAAACTTCCATTAGTGCCGGATTAGCCTCCCTTCCCCAATCCATTAGCCCTCGAATCCAGCACCACCACCACCTTCTAATCCAATCCAAACCAAACCATTTTTTCCTCCTTACATTTTTCATTCCTTTTTTCTCCTTATAGTTTTCCATTCACCTCCGAGGAGGAGGGATAAGCAAAGTTATGCTATCAATGAGAATCGACCTAAGACTTCTCAGTTATAAATTAAGTAAAAAAATACATAACTACACCGTAATATTAAATGATTACTATTATATATTTTTAAGATCCTTAGATCACATTTTATAAATAGACAAACTTGTAATCCATAATTTCATTAAAAATACGGACGGAGAGAGAGTGAGAATAACCAAACTCTATATAATTAGCCCTTAGTCAGCTGTTTGGGGGTTTGTTATTGGAGGTCCTAAGTGACAGTGCGTTTGGTGGAGGAATAGCAACGACAGCAGAGAAAAAAATGGATCACGCAGCCGATGCTCACCGGACGGACTTGATGACCATAACGAGGTTCGTGCTGAATGAGCAGTCCAAGCGCCCTGAGTCTCGCGGTGACTTCACTATCTTGCTCAATCATATTGTTCTTGGCTGCAAGTTTGTCTGCTCTGCAGTCAACAAGGTCTCTCTCTTTGTTATAGTGTCATTTTCCTCAAAGACCATATTAAATGCCAAATTTGTTCTTGGAATGAAAGTTTTCGAATCATTGTCATGACGTAGTCAATTTGATTAGAGCAGTGTAGTCATGTTCTCCATCCAAGTTCGAATTTTGCTATTGTAGTTTGGATTAAATTAGAATATCGCTCGAATACAATAGAAAATATTTTCCATTCTTAACTTGGTACTGTAGCTTTTGTATGCATGACTTTTCTCTGTTTTTGGGGAACTGACTGGCACTGTGGAAATGGGGATTTTAATCTGGAAATTTTTGACTTGGGCAGGCTGGTCTGGCCAAACTTATCGGGCTTGCTGGAGAGACCAACGTTCAGGTAAGTATTTGATATCTGTTTATATTGAATATACTATATTGGGGTTATTCTATAACGTGAAATTGTTCGATTTTTCGGTTATAGGGTGAAGAGCAAAAGAAACTGGATGTTCTTTCAAATGAAGTTTTTGTTAAGGCTCTGGTTAGCAGTGGCAGAACCGTAAGTCATCAAATTTTTCCTTTTTAATGTTTGCGTTAGATGAATTTGAAGGACCGATATTGATAACAATTTGGGTTTTGTGGCAGTCTATTCTTGTTTCAGAAGAAGATGAAGAGGCGATTTTCGTGGAGCCAAAATTGCGTGGAAAGTAATTGTCTATGCTTTATGCCTGTTATCAGAGCTTGTTCCAATGAATGTTTGTTTTTGAGACTTGTAACTCAAGGCTGTCTGTCTGAATAATGCTTTGAACTCATACTGGAGCAGGTACTGTGTTGTGTTCGATCCACTGGATGGTTCGTCTAACATTGATTGTGCTGTTTCCATTGGAACGGTACAATCCCTCATTCTTATTATTTATTATTTATTGCGTCAAAAGACTACTGACAAAATCTATGTAATTGAATCATTTGTTCCAGAATAACTCAGTATTATGCTGCGAAACATTTGTCTTATCAGATTTTTGGGATTTATGTGGTAAAAGATGGTGAACCTTCTCTTGACGATGTCTTGCAACCTGGAAAGAATATGGTTGCAGCAGGCTACTGCATGTACGGAAGCTCTTGCACGGTATACAAAACACCATCTTTCTTGTGGATTTTCGTTGCCTGCAGTCCAGATTTGCAAGACACTGCTTTTAACTATTTGGGAATGTAATGGTTTTACAGTTGGTGATAAGCACTGGATCTGGAGCTCATGGGTTCACCCTTGATCCTTCTCTCGGGGAGTTCATACTAACTCACCCAGACATCCAGGTATTTCTTGTGCTGTAACACACGGAAGGAATTCAACCTCTTTTATATCTGAATGTTGCTATGATAATTTGTGTGCTACTTGAGAACGTACTACATTCTCATCTATTGTCCCAAAAATTTTGTGTGCGTGTGCGCGCATATATATAGTGAATATGTCATTTTGATGAGAATGTAGTGAATAAGATGTGTTATCGTAGTGTCCAACGTTCAGTACATATCTGCTTCTTTCCCCAGATTCCAAAGAAAGGAAAGATCTATTCAGTGAATGAAGGGAACGCGAAAAATTGGGATGGCCCGACAGCCAAGTATGTCAACCTCAATAATAGTTCTTATTTTGATGTCCAGCATTGAAAATTTCTGACCTTTTTGGCTTCAGGTATGTGCAAAAGTGCAAGTACCCGGAAGATGGTTCATCCCCGAAGTCACTAAGATACATTGGAAGGTACCGTGGATTCTCATCGTAGAAGTTTAATCTGGTTTTTCTATATGAACGACCTGCCTCTGTTGAATTTGAATGTTGATCCTTCATCCCGTTCTTGTGTTTGACATATGATTCTGTTCTTTTTCGTTCAGTAAGTAGTGATAGTTATGATTTATCGTCATGGTTAACAGCATGGTTGCTGATGTTCATCGGACATTGCTGTATGGCGGTATCTTTTTGTACCCTGCTGATAAGAAGAGCCCAAACGGGAAACTGCGGTATGTCAAGCACAATTACAGCTTTCATTTTCATTTGAAACAGTCATGGAAGCCTTGTATCATGTTCTGTAGCTTCAGGTTTAAGTTTATGGACTTAAGTGACGCATTTGGTTTAACTTGTGTTAACTAGCGTTCTCTACGAAGTCTTCCCAATGTCGTTCTTGTTGGAACAAGCAGGCGGTCAGTCCTTCACTGGCAAGGAACGGGTATTGACTCTCGCACATTTCTTATTTGTTGATATGTTGAATGAAAATGGTTAAATAACTTGCTTGTTTTCTGCGTATAAAGCCGATTCATACAAAAAATCAGGGCCGGCCCTGAGGGTAGCCGGAATAGGCAGCCGCTGGCAGAAATTATAGAACTCTGCTCCACACTCTGTCGTGAAGCTTTGTGCCAACAAAGTATACTTTGTGCAATATAGACAATTTCTCGTAACTACAGAAAACTTCGAAGAATTATCAAACCGAATTGTTAATCGGGCAATCTATTACTAAAATTGTTAGTCGAATATGTTATGTTGTTAGAATGTCAATTTATCACATCTATAAATAACGATTCACCTTGTTTGTTGCTAAGATTGATAATTGACAAAAGAACATTGAACATTACTTGCAAGCCAAGACAGGATTAATTTCTTTTCATTTTTGAGTCCATTTTGAATTGATTGGTAATTGATTTTAACATCCATCTTGACAGGCCCTTGACCTGGTTCCGACCAAGATACACGAGCGCTCTCCGATCTTCCTCGGCAGCTACGACGACGTTGAGGAAATCAAGGCACTCTATGCAGCTGAAGGAAAGAAATGAACCTTGGAATTGTGGTTCTCTCATCGTGAATCACATAACTGTTCATCTATTTTAACTCCTCTATTAGATGAAGTTTGTAAAGAGAGCGTACAATAATTTGTTGATGCTTACAACTCTAACAAGGTCGTCGTCTTATATTCTGGAGAACTCCTCTACTTTCTTTCCTTATTTTCTCAGATTTCAAACAACTCTACTCAATTAAAGAAATCCATCAAATTAACGGAAAAGAAAAAGAGTAGGGCGGAGGCCAGCCCCCGGTTGCAGCATAGACAGGTTCAATGCTCCGAGCTGCCAAGGGGAGACCGAGACCGAGAGAAAGATGGCGAAGTGTTTTGTTCAAAGTGTTGTGTTCGTCACTTCGTTGTCAAGTATAAAATCGGGTAACAAAGCTTTGAAAGTAATCTATGAAGATTACATTAAACTGGATCCATCAATTCCGAGGCACCTGAAACTGAGATTCTTATAATTCTACTCTTTCGGTTTCCTCAAATACAGTTAAAATTCTGATCCTAGGTAGCTCGGGATTCACGAAATCTCGTTCATTCAGAAATCTAAAAGCGGAATATTAAGATAGATTTGGTAAATGTCACAACAGTTGATTTCCCAATACAAGTAACTAACTCAAGCCGTTCTTAGAGGAGGTGAAACAAGGATGACACCGTCTCCTCTGACAAAGAGAAAAGGAACCATCCGCTTTGTAGTCTGCAATGGAAAAAGGAAAAAATGGTTGTCGGCCAAAAATGTAATACAAGATCAATGCAACGACAGCCAAAGCTAAAGCTAAAAATTATGCTAATTCCACAAGAACCCATTCTCACCGATGATGCCAACGCTAAAAGCAATTTCTTTGGTTATTAATTGAAAAAGGAGAAACCAAACATACCAAATATAAGTTGCACTTTGATCATAGGAAAAAAAGGCACGATATTTACAGAACCTATACTACCTTCAGTTTAGTAGCTTTTAACGATGAGATAAATGAATGACGGAACAAAACACAACACATTCAGGAGCAGATGTGATCATGTTAGCATAAATTTCCATAGACAGATGTTTTCCAAATTTTAGCAGTCCACAGTGGTAATGCAGAAACATTCATATCTAACTGGGCATCCCCATAGGTAGTAAACATTGTTACCTCTGGACCTATCTGAGGGCACAGTCACTACAGCAGCTCTACCCCAAAGTTATGCATTCTTTTATTATTTACGCAATTTAGTCCTCTAGGAAAACAACACTCAGTTACATTGATTTACAAAATCTTTTGTTTTATATAAACTAGTGAAAAAGATATCAGAGTGTGAGCTACATACCCGGACAATCTCTTCATAAGTTTCATCATCAATTTCTACAGATGTAACAACTTCTTCAACATCACCAAGAATCATATTTAAGTGTTGATCATAAGCCTGCAAAAGCCAGATTTTTAACAACAAAATCAGAATCGGACAGGAAGCTTTATAACCACAAATACTAAGCTAGCAAATATCACTTGGCATACTCATTGTTTGATAGAGGAATACTGTTTGTTTACACGCCTTTCCTTACAACAGAGGCAGCTAGCAATTAGTGACTCCATAGAAAGTACTTTCGAGAACCATGGAAACAAAGGTGGAGTGGAAAAGATACATAATTTGGAAAACATCAGTGATTGGCTTAGCATAACCCTTACAAGAATTACAATCCTAGCTAAGAAGTAAGAAGCATTGCTTCGTCAAAAAGTCCACAGATTACCCAAGATCTACTTATTCATACTAGGATGAATCAGCTTGGCTTAGCATAGAAGCATTGCTTTGTCAAAAAGTCGATCTACTTATTCATACTAGGATGAGTCGGCTAGACCATATATTTGGAAGCTTAGCATTAAACTAGGTAGAGATATTGTCGTATATTTCATAGGTTCAATAAAGATGAGTTCACTAATACAAGTGCCAGACTGACACTCACTTCACATACTATAAATTTAAAATTTGACTCAGCATCAAGAGAAGAGAAGATTCACCCTCGATAAAACCATAAAAATAGCTACAAATTTCTCATAAAGTCACACAATTTTCCTAGCTCCGCTAACACTAAGTATAATTTCGCGATAAGAGCAAACCATACAAGTTATAAACTGCAACAGTAACCACCAATCATAGTGTCAAAAGCAACATCGAAAGAAAAATATAAAAGAAAAAAAAACATGGAATTGAAAATAAAATGAAAAGACTCGAGTTCCTATCGCAAATGCAAAAATAGACAATTATTGAGCATACCTCACAATTTTGTTATTGGTGTTCGAGTCTATAAAGAGGAGAATCAAACCTTGATGCATATCGGATGTAATTTCCATTCAGCTGTTAACACTAAAGTAGCATACTTTAAACCCTAATTTTATTTTCTCACTACTTTTTGTTTTTGCCCAATCTAAAACCCTAATTCGAAAAACCCAGAAAGCAGAGAAAACCTAATATACAGCAGAGCGAGAGACATGATAGATAGGGCGTGGAAACGTACATGGAGTTTACCGCGGAGCTCTCGGTCGGAGCGAAGCTTGACGTAGATGCGCTCGTCGAGGCTGAGCCTTATCAGATCCAACGGCTCCTTCACGGCGCTCTCTTCCTCACTCGCCATTTTTGTATTGTCCTCTTCCTTCGAATGGGTTATTAGTTGGGGGCAATTTGTACGGACTGAGCTTATTTATTATATTAACTATTGTATTGTAATATGGACTGGACAATTTGTCTTTGATTACAAGGCCCACTGTAAACAGGCTTAGCACCAAATTGTTTTTGGAACTCAAGCAGGTTAGATCGTCAACCCAATCTTAAACTAATATTTTTAATTCATGTTTAGATTGGGTTTCGGTTTGTGGGTTTATTCAAGTTCGGGTTTAAATTGGTTTGGACTTATTGGGGTTGAGTTTGAGTTTACCCAACTTTATAAAGTTTAATCTGGTTACATGTTATCTTATGAGGTAAATATCAAGTAACCATATAACGTCAAACTATTTGAAATTTAATATTACATGTCATCGTCCATACAAAAGATAAACTAAATAGTGTGGGACACATTTGTAAAGTTTCAAACATGCAAAGTTGAATTTAAATTACAAGATAATACCAAAATTTTAACTAATAGAAATGTAAAAGAAATACTATAACATGAAGTGAGACGAGTAATATGTGCATGAACAATTTGGGCTAGAAATCGGGTTTGGGTTGACATGGGTGGGCAAAGCATCAACCCAATCCAACCCTAAATAATCGGGTTGAGGTCGAGTTAGGTTTTAACGAGTTTTTACTTCATTGTAACTCACCTGATTGAATTGAAATCAAATTGGGTATAAACGAATTTAGTTGACTTTGCTCAAGTTGCACCTTTAATTCAACACACGAATAGAAAATACAAATGATAACATAAAAGTATCCCAAATCCAAACGCGACTATCAAATTTGTGTTATGCGAACAAAAAACAAATAAAAAAGAGAGATAGTACAGGAAAGAAGGTTAAATAGGATTTTGATTTTATTTTTAATTAAATGAATAAATGTGTCTTTGTTAATTGTAATCCAAATTTTGAATCAATTATTATTTTTTATTTGCTTCTTATCCACATGGTGCATATTTGACAACAATGTCAACAAAAATATAGGTTTTAATTTACCGTATCATTACTTAATGGTTAATTTAAAATATCTTTAACTAGTATACGACATTACAACTAATTCAAGAATTTATATATGACATTACAATATTTTAATGATGATTTACAAGTTTGCAATTGTTTCCGAAATTAAAGGTACAGAATGTAATTTGCTTATTTTTTATATTGTTTTTTTTTGGTTTAGTGACAATGGGTTTTATCAAATTTGTGACTAATGGACCCCTCGAATCATCCCCGAATCATCCCATACATCGAACCTATCAAAGTCAAATCACTTTGTTGGCTTCTTCCCAATACAAACAACAAGGGGAACTCAACGTAAGAGAATTATTGAAACAAGTAAGGTTAAAATAATTTTTATATAGTTTTTTATTAAAAATGGTTAATCTAAATTAATTTTAAAAACTTAACAAGAAATAAACAATTTAGTAAGTAATTAATTTTCTTGATAGATAATTCATATATGTATGAGAAGTGAAAAAGACGTGTGGATATTACTACTCTTCCGACAGATTGGGAAAAATTAAAAAAAAATATTTTGGTATATGTGGTCGTGCTATTATTATATAGGGGGTATAACGTTACACAGTTCCAACCCCTTTTATTTATTTATGTAGCCAGATAGCAGGTGTTTCTCCGTCATCTTCCGCCCGGGAATCTTGGCTCGATTACTGGAAGCTTCTCAGATTTGTGTGGGCATCTCTCTGCAGATAAGTTGCTTTGCTTCTGTGTTCTTGATCTTTGAAGAATGATGTTTCGTTTCCTGGAACTTGTTGCCTTGAATTTGTGCTGATTTGAGTAGTTTTTTGTTGGTGGGTTTTGGATAAATTTGTTATTCAGTTGGTAAAAATTTGTGCTTGGTGTTGAATTTTAGGAAATGGGTTTCTGTTTGGTTATGGTGTTTGTGGGAATTGGACATGCATATACTTTCGTGGTGTAAGACTGTAAGTAGCATCAGGTAGTTGAATTGGGGGTTGAAAAAGCTCGAAAAGCTTAAAAATTGATAAGGAAGATGATTGATTTTTACCTCTGAGTGCTTGAGGCGTGTGAATAGATGTAGAATATGGTTTTAGGATGAAGAAGTTGTTGTTGTGATTATTGTTAATAGTGAGGATTAGGGAATGGAAGGGAATTTATCACAAGGAGGAGGAGGTATGGTTCCGGGCGGGGCTTCGTTTGGTGGGCTTGATTTGCAAGGATCAATGAGGGGTCATCACCAAACTCAACACCCACACACCATACACCATCACCTTCCTCATCCTCATCAAGGGTCGTTGGTCCACCCATCAATTCCCGAAGGTTTTCCGCTCAAAATGGGAACCATGCATCACTGTGATCAAACCATTTCCATGGTGGATTACAATAAGGGGGAGAGAGGCAAGAACTCGGCAAGTGATGAGGATGAGCCAAGTTATGCGGAAGATGGTGCTGATGGTCACCCTGAAGCTAGTAAAGGGAAGAAGGGGTCGCCATGGCAGCGTGTGAAGTGGACTGATCAGATGGTGAAGCTTCTGATTACTGCTGTGTCATATATAGGCGAGGATACAGGTTCAGATTGCGGTAGCGGGGGAAGAAGGAAATATTCTGTTGTACAGAAGAAGGGAAAGTGGAAATCTGTTTCCAAGGTCATGGCAGAAAGAAGTTATCATGTTTCTCCGCAGCAGTGTGAGGATAAATTCAATGACCTTAACAAAAGGTATAAGAAACTTAACGATATGCTTGGGAGGGGCACTTCTTGCCAGGTTGTTGAGAACCCTGCGCTTTTGGATGTGATAGAGTACCTAACAGAGAAAGAAAAAGACGATGTTAGGAAAATATTAAGCTCCAAGCACTTGTTTTATGAGGAGATGTGTTCTTATCATAATGGAAATCGTTTGCATCTGCCTCACGATCCAGCCTTGCAGAAATCTTTACAAAGGGCACTTAAAAGAGATGATCCTGACAACGATGATCTGAGAAGGCACCACCATGATGATCTTGATGAAGATGATCAAGATATGGAAAATGACGAGCATGAAGACTTTGAGGAAAATAATGCTTTACGTGGAGATAACAGGGGAATATACATTTCAGAGGATTCTGTAAAGAGGTTGAGACAAGGCCAGGGCCGTGAAGATTTTAACTTTGGGAGTTCTTTGAATTCCCAAGACAGTAACAAAAGTTCTTATTCTCACCCCCAGATTCTTCCCCAACCTGATATGAATCAAGTTTTACCTGATGGTACTAAAGCTGTTTGGTTACAGAAGCAGTGGGTTGAATCCCGTTCATTTCAGTTAGAAGAACAGAAACTACAAATTCAAGTTGAGATGTTAGAATTGGAGAAGCAGCGTTTGAAGTGGCAAAGATTTAGCAAGAAAAGAGACCATGAACTGGAAAAGCTGAGGTTGGAAAATGAGAGGATGAAACTTGAGAATGAGCGTATGATATTAGAATTGAAACAGAAGGAAATGGGTGCTGGATTTAGTTAAGTGTCTCTTCTGATCAGTATTTATTGCAGTAGTGGGACATCTAGGCAATGTTGATTCTCTCAAATTCGGTAAGCTGCAGTGGGTTCAAGTTTCACATATTGTTTGGGGGAGCTTTCTTGGAACGACTCTACCTGGATGTACTCTCTAAAACTTATGATTTTGGCAATATCAATGTCTAGTTTTCAGTATTTTGCATATGGTAAAATGGTAATTTCCTGTGGTTGAAACCTTTTATTGAAAACTGTATGAACAATGTCTTAATAGCTTATTGTATTCTGGTGCTTTCCGTATTTCATCAGCTTTTTATCTCTGGTATTATTGTTTGGTTTTCTCAAATGAATGTTGGCATTCATTTTCTTGTCTTTTTTACTTTTGATCTTCCATATTTTACTGGCAGCTTACAAATATTGTTATTCAATGTTACATTTATTGTTCTTGTTTTTTTTTTTGTTTTCAAAAGAATTTGTTCTAGTGATTTACATGATTTTAGGTCTATGTCTCTATGTCCCAAGTAATATTATTTTCTCTATAATAACCAAAAAGAGTAGGCTTGTAATTAGGAAGCCCACAGGAGCAGGTTCTGCAGTCCATCCTGTACCCTCGATAAATATGTATGTATGTCATGTACAATGCTAGAAACAACTGCTACCGCAAGCTTTGTTTTCCTCATGCATGTTCATATTACTGCATGCTATAGATACGCTAGCCCATCCTTAGATTTAAGGTCAAGGATTATGAGTTTCTGGCTTAAAGCTGTTGTATTTTTCTTGTCACCTCAAGTTGTAGTCTGTGAAACTCGTGCTAATCTAGAACTGTGTTAGTTATTCTGAATCTCGGACGGTAAAGCTTCAATTAAACATTATAAGTCGTGTAGGTCTCTTTTATTCTCTTTGTGGAGCAATATTTTGAAAAACTAGTATTGAGACTAGCCTAGGCGGTTTTTTGGGTGGGGATATCAAGAAAACGCCTCTGCCCCAGCGGGAGTGGGCTATAGACTAGCCTAGGCGTTTGGGAGGTGCGCCTAGGCGCCTGAGGCGTTGTCGAGGCCCCACTTGGGCGTTTGAATTTTTTTTATTTTTTTAAAATAGCTCAAACCCAAAAGATGTCGTTTTGTGCTGGGTTTTTATAAAGTTCATGTTAATTTTATGTTTCTAACTTAGTTTCTATTGGTTTATTATGACTTAATGATGTGAATTAGAGAAATAATAGTAATAGTCAAATATTTGATAGCTTGGCATGCTTGCTTGATTGTTTTACAAAGTATTACATTTTACAGGTGTGTATATATATATATATATATATATATGTATGTATATTTATTTATTTATTTATTATATTAATTTTAGGTACCTATCGCCTAGGCGAGGCTATCTATGAAAAGCTTTGGCTTCGCTTTCGCCTTTTAAAACATTGATTGTGGAGTCTACACTGCATGTTTAAGATGTTTGTCCACTCCCTGTCCATACCACTTTATCAGCTTGCAGAACTGGATTCTTACAGTTAGTTTTCTTCCTGTTGATTTAGCCAGGAATTATTTTCTTCAGCATCGCAATTTTTTGCATCATTTTATTTGAGAATTTTGCAACTTTGACATCATAGTGAATGCAATAAAATTCCTGAAATCCAAGAGCTATAGATGGTTTATCTATGTAGGAATTAGATATACCAGAATGCTTCATATATGTGTGAGTTTTTGTAGGCTCTGGCCTCGCACAAGTAATCTTGTTTTTCTTCTGTAGAAATTGAAACTTACCTATATCCCATTTCCAAGAGTTTATCATGTCTAAAATGGCATGCAAGGTTTCATCTTCAAGTTTACGAGTTTATTTTTGAGACTGATATCACATATTACTTGTACAATGATAATCACAAGTAATTTGCATGTATAAACTATTATTCTGATACTAGAATCAGGCAGTGTACTGTATAAACTATAAAGACTGGCTAGAATGTAATGTTTGGTCGTGATAAGAAACCTTCAGAAAATTATTACTAGAGGTTGAAGATTTGCTTATCAATAATATGGTGTTACTTCCGTCTTTACTTATCTTTCTGCATTGATCATTGTGTTAACAACTTAACCTGGAGATACTCAAGACATAGTTTCTGCTGAACTAAGAACTAAATCTGTGCTGATTACAGAGCGGTTGTAGCTGTGGGTTTTAGCCCATTATTGTGAGGAAGGATCTCATTCCCGTCAAGATCCCCCTGCCATTGTCCTGTCAAATAACTCATTGCTCATGTCAGGTGCGCTCCTCCTCCTGACTTTGTGACTCTCTTTGCTGGGCAGTGGTCAGTGCATGATTGGACTTGATGAGAAATTAAGAGATTCCTCACACCATGGAGGGCGGGTATTGGTGTAGTCAAATTATAAATTGATACACTGTGCTTAGCAATGGTAGTTTAGCTCAAAATGCTTAAACTGTGATGGAAGAAAATGAGAACCTGAGACTAGCTTGTTTAATGTGAATTTTGAAGTGCTGTTGGTGCATGAAATAACCGAGGGACCTCTAATTGAGTTAATCGGTGATAGATATTGTTCATTTTCTTGCAGACATGTAAACTTCGAGTCTTGTTTTGTAATTTCTATAGCACCTGAGTCAGCATATAACTTTCAATACATGATCTGAGGATTTGGTATATATCCTAATTTATGTTACTTCGTTCTATTATATTTTGGTGACAAAGCCATGTTACCTTCCTTGTGATGTTAGCCTACGGGTAATTGGGTACATTTGGTTGAAGTTGCTTTCTGTACTTGCCATTGCAATTGCCTCCATAACCAGTAACAGAGAAGTGAAAGCTGTATCTGGCTGAAAAGAAATATTGGAGCTGATTTGTACATGACCTTTCCAACAAATATACCCTTTTATCAAGTGAGAGGTTGTGCAATACCTAATACGTATCAAGCAACCAGTAGTAAGAAATCATGGCACCTTCAATTGAAGTAATAGAATTTTGTTACCGGGATGATGTGGATAGGCTATGGTCTAAGACTACTAAGCTTGAAATTAGAGAATTAGGTTTACAAGAACTTTGTGGTGGCTATATGATACTCGCATACTGTGAATCAGTAACTTTTTAATGCAACAAAAATAGTGCCTTATCCCATTAAGTGGAGTCAGCTGTATGAATCCTAGAATGCTATTACGCTTGGTTTTGCGCCAAGTCGTGAGTTAGCTCCAAATATTCCTCGTCTTTTCTTAAAGTCTCTGTCCAAGTCTTCCTAGTTTTTCTCAACCGCTTTTGCCATGAGCCTCTATCATCTCATTTTCTAATTGGAGCATCTGAACGTCTTTGTTTCACATGTCCAAACCACCTTAACTGATTTTCTCTCATCTTATCTTCATTTGCGGGCACTCCTACTTTACCTCGGATATCCTCGTTCTTAATATTGTCCTTTCTCGTGTGTACACATATCCAACAAAGCATTCTGATCTTCGCCACACTCATTTTTTGCACGTGTTGATGCTTGACCGCCAAACATTTTGTGCCATCAAAAATTGCATGCCTTGTTGCCCTCCTATAAAAAATTTCCTTGAGCTTTATTGGCATATGACGGTAGCACAATACACCCGATGTACTCTTCCACTTCATCCATCCAGCTTGTATTCTATGATTGAGATCTCCATTCAATTATCCGTTCTTTTGCAAGATAGATCCAAGGTGACAAATGCGTTCACTCTTTGGTACTTCTTGATCTCCAACTCTCACCCTTATCTCATTAGAACCTCCATTTCCACTGAATTTGCACTCCATATACTCTAGCGAAGACCTTTAGATTCCAACACTTCTTGCGAAAGGTTAAGCTTTACATTTACTCCCTCACGCATTTCATCTATTAGAACTATATCATCTGCGGAAAGCACACACCAATTGGTAACTTTTGATTATATATGTTTCTTCATGTACTGTAGACGTGGATAACCTTTGGTGCCTTGAAGTTTATTGTCGAAAGTTAATGGTTTTGAGGTTCAGAATAGAATCTTGTTGTTGGAAACCGGTCAAAAAATTAAAAATTTCATTTCTTTTTCAGTTTCCAGATTCCATATTAGCATATACTCTGAAAAGAATTTTCAGTTGACCACGCCAAACCTTAGAAGGGAAACAAGTGCTTACTTGGGGAAGGATGCAATGTGTGCTGGACTCAGATGTATTGATACTTACGTAAGTTGCAATTCTTGGCCAGTTAGTCTCACGTTTTAATTATCGCTGTGTACAATACTCCTGTTCAGTTATCTATCTTCCGGTATTTTCCATTAAATGTTAATATCAACATGCTTGACCTTCGTTTAGAGAATTAGATTGTCAATCAGTGTTCAATATTTTTCACACCAGTGTAGGCTCATCTATTTGATATTTACATTGATCCGCCTGACTTATACTTTTGAACTGCTCAGTAGCTCTCTTACTTAGTTGTTGATATGTCTTATTTTTTTGTAGAGAGTGCTAGAATCAATGACTCTATGTAACTAGTGCATCATACTTTGACGATTGAAAGCTCAAGAGAGATTGTTAGCTTCATTTAAGCAAAATCAAAATATAAAAGCTGTGTAATGGATGTAGATATATCTGATGCTGCTATGAAATATGTCTATTTGTTGTAGTAATCGACTATGGAAGATTAACGTTTTACTCGGTTCATAAAGCTATCAGGGAATAGTGCGAAAGAAAGAATGTCTAACTTCTAAGTGCTTGCTATTATGATAAAGAGGAAACAAATCTTTGTAGGATTACAGCAGTTGATTGCATCAAGTATTCGTTTTCATTTTGTATATGGTCGAGTTCCTTGTTTTTGGTTTATTTGGCTAGTCTGGCTCAGAGAACAGTAGCTGTAGTTATGAAAGTCCGTTAGTAGCGATAAATGTGAATTGCGGAAACATTTCGTTTGAAGTTTTGAGCTAGGCTTCTGCATAGTAGTCCTGAATAGGTTGCTTTCAAGGTGGATAGCTGCTGAATGTGTAAAATGTGCTTAGATTATAAAACGTCTGAGCTGAACATGAATTAGTGTCGAATCTTCGCAACAACTTGTGTTGGCAGTGATTGTGCAACCACTACTCCGCCTTATCAATCGGCCTGTCAACACAATAACAGGTATCCGTGGCTCAATCTGTGCCAATTCATTGAGAATTTATGTGCTGAGATGTTAGCCTGTAAATTTAGTTCTTGTACGTCCCTAATATTTATTGACAGACATTGTTGCAAATGAGAGAGTACGTTCTTTACTTTGTTACAGTGGTTTTAACTGACCGGGACCTGCTTAGTACTTGCTTTCTCTCAGAAGTTGAAATTTAAATTTACTGCAATTTACCCAGCAGACATGCATTAAAGCTTAGCTATGGCCCCTTAGCCAGGTAAATGAAACAGAGACTCGTTATTGGAAAATTCATGGTGCAAGACCCCCTATATCGGCAAATATATGGTAGGAGAGGAGGAGGAATCATCAAGTCTGTTGTTTACTGTATAGAATTCAATGATTTTCATTGCAGGAGCCAGGCGTGAGGGGTCCACAATTACTTGGAAGAGAACTCCTGGATGATGCTATCCACACTCATTTTTACACTCAACTTACCGTCTATAAATTTCTGTCATTTCACTCTCTTCAATTCATTTGATCTAATGGTAAAAAATTGAGAGAAGTGTGTGAAAAGTAAAAAAAGATGTGTGGATAGCACTGTCCTCCCCGGGTTTGTGTATACATCTATTCTTCTTCAAGTAGGTGGATTTCGATTTTTGGATGATGCATATTCACTAGAAAAGTATAAAATTCTCTATCTAGTTCAATTCCTTGGATGGATTGAAATTAACCAGATAATAGGGCCGACACATTTCAATTTATATATTCAATGGATTGTGGCAATTTTCTATTTTAAACTACTATAAATATATTATTCTGATCAATTGATATAACTTATAAGGAATAATACTTTTGCTCACTTTTAAGTGAGGATGAAGCTCATCATCTCATTGGTTGTCGTTAGATTAGTCTAAATTTTAAAATTTGTGTCTCAAATCAATTAAATCAAACTAATCTAACGGTAACCAATGAGATAGTAAGCATCACCCTGCTTTAAAAGGTTGAGAAAAATGCATGTTATCATGTGAGTGTATTTAAGTTTTCTCATCCTACTCCTTTATGGGCTAAATTTAAGACCTCTTTTGGTTGTTGCTGTTGGATAATTAAGAGTATCCTTTCCCTACAAAGCAAGTTTTGGCTACAAACTTGGTGCCATTGTTATTTCTAAGTTAGATTCATGTCATTTGACCCCTAATAGAAATAAGGCAAAAGAGTAAATTCAGGACGCACTGGGTTGAAGAGTGAGATCCTAACCACTAGAGCAATCCACTGCATATAGTTCAGCTGGAGAAAAACTTAATTGAAACCATTTTTTGGGACTCTCGGGGGCATACAACCGGAATAGCCAAGTTTTTCTCCTAGCAATTCACAACTACACTTTTGAGCAATTGTTCAATGTGAGAATGGTGCTATCAATGAACTCGTGTTACACCATGAAATTGTGCGAAACATCAACTATGTCGTCCAGACATATTGTATAATCGGAATGTATATGTTTTTTGTTGGTCCATCCTCGTGAGCTAGGGTTGGAAAGATATAATATAACAAAATGATCACAGAAGCAACAGTATTACATTAAAGCGTATTGGGAAAAGCTTATCCTGTTATCCAATTGGGTCTAACTCTAACATCAAAGAAATGGACGTGAGTAACAGAGGGCGGAAAAAAAGCAAAGAAGTGGACGTGAGAACGTGATTTTTCCCTTGGTACTCTCCCTTTCTTTCCCACTGTAACTTGTTGTTTGTGGCCACATGGGGCCCTTCCACTCTTTCTTGCCCAATATGGGCTTTTTGGGTGCTTTTCTTTGGCCCACATGGGGCCCATCCTCGATGAGCTCCTCTATTGCATTAGGGTAATACAATCAATTTTACATGGGTTGTAATGCCTACACACCATTTTTAGAGTAATACAACCAAATTCTATATGGGTTGTAATATCAACTCACCATTTTTACTTCTTACATATTTTTCTTAATTTTCGATCGTCGGATCAAATGAATTGAAGAAATATCTACACACTCATTTTTACTGCTTATACATCTCTCTCAATTTTTAGCCGTCGGATCGATGAATTGAAGAAGATTAATGACAAAAAATTAACAAAAGTGTGTGAGAGGTAAAAGTTAGTGTGTGAATAACACTATTTTCTATATTATGCTACTTCAGATTAATTACTTGCTCTACAAGCCTCTTGCCCACCCAAAATGTAATCCTTTAATTAGGACCTTCCATTGCTAGAATGAATTTAATCATTTGAGTTACAAGCGCTAGTCCTTTGATTAAAATCTTCCGTCGCTGGGATGAATAATTATAACTATTTGAGCTACAAATTTTTTATTTTTATTTTTTTTTATGAAAATGCAAATTTCTTAGAATCCTTCAATTAGGATCTTCCACTGCAATATGGAATAGTTATTTGCATGCCCATGCTTTCATGTTCCAAATTAATATAAACGTTTGCAGCATTTGGGTTTACTTTGCATAATAAAACATGATTAAGTATGCTAATCTTTGGCACATGGTTGCAAACTTGCAATATATGCTGCAATGGCTTTCAATTCACTCCACTAGCTATCATCTTTCAAGTAATAATCTACACTTAATTACTTCTAAACTCAAAAGGTCTAATTATTATATGCTTAAACGATTCTCAAGGAATATTATGATATGGGTTGGACAACAAGGAAGGTTCTAATAGAAAGTGTTATATATAGTAAATTATTAATCAAACATTGTTGGTAAAGAACAACGGCGGTCACTATTACAACTAATTAATCATTGTAACACCTATATGCTTAATACTTTGTTTCTTTCACCATTAATTTTCTACTTTCTTTTTTTTTTCTTCGAAGAAAAAAGAAGAAAAATATATATTTAATTACTATTAGAAAAAGATGAAATGGTACAACTTGAAAAGGAAAGTGACAAACAATCTCTATAACAAATATTTAACAGTTAAAACATTCAGAATATCAAGTACTTTAGAGTTTCTAAAAAAAATTCCACATCAATAAATAATCAAGTGTGATAAAAGTAGGAACCATTCAAAAACATTATTCTAGCTGGCTAGCTAGCTTTGTTGATGGGTCACATTCATGTAATTACCTCTAGATCCCACATGGAAAATTAATAAGTTGAAAAAAGATAAAAAGAGAGAGAAAAAAAAATCATTAATTCCATGAGGTTGAGTGACACGAGTCTTAAATTGTTCTTGGTGGGCTCCTTGAAAATTAATATGTGATGCATAATTTTTTGTTATTAATTTAAGAAAAAGGTAAATAAAAAGGTGGTAGAAAATAAAAAATACAAATAAGAAAGAGTTGGCCCAAAAAAAAAAAGAAAAAAAAAATCAACTGGGTGTGGGCATGCTTAGCTGGTGACAGATAAAATCCATGGGGTTAAACCACATGGTAGACAGAAGTATGTGTGTACATTCACATCACATGTCCACCCATGTGAGTAAACCCTTTTGTCCACATGTAAAGTGTAAACTTTATTTTTCCAAATGGGCTGTAATTTATAAAATTCAGCCAGCTCTACATACATATTTCTTCACATTATTGTCAGATATTTCACACACGCTTCTTTATCATTGGTTATCGAGTCAACTATTTTACACACGCGTCTTTATCTTTCATTATCGAGTCAAAAAATCAAATGAAAAAAACCAAAAATGATAAAATAAATATGTGTTTATCATTTCTTATAATACATTTCTATATACATATATATTGGTTCAAATATCACCTTTCAAATATTCGAATATATATACACATATACAAGTTTCAAAAGAATTAGTCAAATAGAAAAATTGTCTTTTGATATTGTTGTGGAAATTTTCATTGTTAACATGCAATATTGTGTTCGTTTATTTACTATATTATAGTTCGGTGATTAAATTTTTTTTATTTGGCTAATTTTTGCAATGATTGTTTTGAAGTTGATTCAAATGTGTAATTAACGCCGTATCAACTTATTAATCGGTTGGTGTTTGAAGGTTTCCCTATATATGTTTAATTAATGTTTTTTGGTTCCGCTAATTTTCGCAAGGGTTGCCTTCAAATAATTACCGATAAACATTTAGACCATGAGATGACTTGTGGAGTGCACTCAAACATATAATTAACACTGTATTAACTTATCGCTTAGTTAGTCTTTGAAGGCTTCCGTAGATATATTTAAATAATTTCCTACATCTAATAAAAAGGAAAAAGAAAATGATGATAATGCTCCAAAACATTTTCCTAGTTCGAGGCATTTGTTTGTCTTATAAAAGTGAGGTAATCGTACGATACTATAAATAATATATATTACAATTACAAAGTAAACGTTGTATTTTAACCCAGCAGGCACAAACTGCAAAGGTTGGATCATATCGAAACGGTTCTGTTCCTATTCATTTAAATTTGTTGTATTTTTTTCGGTTTCTTACATTTTATAGCAGAATATCTGGCTTTCACAAGTCACCAAGATTGGTTTTTCCTACAAGTTGTTGCAGTAGAAGACAACTACGATCGAAAATAGTATTTCATTTTATCAATATTAGCAAGTGACGTATACGCATGCGTGTATATACGTTAATATTCTCTTTACCACACCTAATGTATCATACAAATTCTTATCTTGGAAAACTATGAATCTTGATTATTCATAAAAGTTTGCTTCTTTTTGATAGTATGACCGTAATGGCTGCAGGCTG